CCACTCTAAAAACATATGTTTTTACAGTTAAACATTGAGCAATAAATTTGACACTTTATATCCTTGGAGCAATAAATATAATAAACTTTTTAAGACCACAACCGTCGGAGCAACTAATTTTTTTAAGGTACTTTACTCTTACGTTATGTCAGAAATTGTTTTTATTTGAGCGATGCGTTGCGCCTCGTAAGACGCCTGCGCGCTGGACGCCCCGCGCGCACTATGTTTCCGCTCTCTCGCGTGTCGTGCACTGGTATGTCGCTCGCTAGCCAGCACGCCGCTGTGCTATCACGCTGTTACTGATAATCGCAATAAAGTGTGTTAATCCATTAATTGTGTAATTCCCTCACGATTCCAACATTATTGGCGACCGTGACAGGACAGAGAGTATCGAGTTGTGAACGTGAGAGAAGTGAGCAGTCAAAGACACGTATCAAAAATGGATAGGTTAAAGAAGACACGTACGATTAGTCGAGCGGCGTTTACTCGCCATTTGGGCGTATTGAACACTGAATTAGCAAAGGAGAGATCAGATATACAAGAGCTTCAAGCGCGTCTTGCATTAGTAAGAGAGAAAGCGAGCGAGCTTGAGGAAATTAATCAGAAGATCTTTGAGGCTATGGTCGAAGGCGATGCGGACGAAGAGCAACTTTTGCGAGAAACCGAAGCGGCTGACGAGTACAGAATGAGATACCAGCAAGCAAAGGCTGCAGTAAATAGTATTTTTGAGCCCACCACTCCAGCACGACAGACAGAAGATATCGGTAACGTGAGGCGCACGGTTCAGGACTTACACGTGCGCACTTTTAAGTTACCAAAAATACAGCTACCAAAATTCAATGGAGACATCAAGGATTGGTTACAATTTTGGGGCTTATTTAAGAACATTCACGAAGATCAGACCATTTCTAGAGAAGATAAGTTTCAGTACTTAATCCAAACAATGGTTAAGGATTCACGAGCGAGCGAATTAGTCAATAGTTTCCCACCAACAGCTGCCAATTACGACAAGGTGATTACGTGTTTAAAGAACCGTTTTGGCAGAGAGGACTTGCTGGTGGAAGTATACGTTCGCGAGATGCTGAAGTTAATATTAACCAGAACAAAGGCAAGTAATCAAACTTCTTTATCAAAAATTTATGATAGACTTGAAACTCATTTGCGTGCACTCGAGTCCTTGGGTGTTACGACAGCCATGTGTGCAGCAATGCTCTACCCCCTGGTGGAATCATCGTTACCGGAGGACCTTTTGCGAGTTTGGCAGAGAAATCCGAAGGCAATTGCGTCCACAACTTCAAAACAGAGATTAGATGAGCTGATGATCTTCCTTCAAGCCGAGGTATTGAGTGAAGAAAGGATTTCCATGGCGGTAAGTGGCTTCGGCTTACACGATGAACAGAATATTCAAGATAAGTCGAAGAGAAAAGGAAAAGCGGAACCAAAGGAGGTTGCTACAGCGGCGGGACTTCTTTCAACGAGGGAAGAAAAACGTACCTGTATATTTTGCGAGCAGAGCCACGACAGCGCTTCATGTGCAAGAGCAAAGAAGATGACTCAGGAAGAGAGGCACAGAACGGCCAAAGAGAAAAATGCCTGTTTCCGTTGTTTAAAAACAGGTCACAGCTTTAAATTTTGTCGGTATAAAGAAAAATGTCCCTGGTGCGACAAGAAACATGTTCTTCTTATGTGTAGAGATAGGTCACCCAATACCTTTTCGGGAAATAGGCAGGCAGAGGAATCTAAGAAGG